AAAAAAAAAAAAAAAAAAAAAAAAAAAAAAAAAAAAAGCCTTGTAAGTAGCCCCTTGGCGTGGGACCACCGTATGGCCCAGCTCTCCTGTAAAGGTGCACTCTGTGTTTTTAGCCTCAAAGTCCAAACACGTAAGAAATTACTCACTATGGATGCCATCTGATTTAAGAGTTTGTTGCAAATACCAGCTTTCCTCCCGGGGCAGACGCCAGCTGACGAGTTCTGGGGAGAAGCAATTAGAAGCAGATGTTGCTGTTGCTGCTCTCGGCACGTTTGCGAGTCTCTCCCAAGCTAATAACGTGGGTGAAGGGATCTGTGCAGTGTTTGTTTTTACTTCCTCTTCACCAACAGTCCTCCCACACAGGGTCACGCAGAGTGGGGCACAGTGGCTCTGTTTGCATCAGCTGGGCTCCTGGGACAACATTCTTTCCTGTTGTGACACTGCCGCTGATTTCCCTCCGAAAGCGGGCGCAGAGGCTCTGTCCCTGGTGCTGAAGCCTGCAGGCAGCAGTGTGGCCCTCTCCTCTCTCTGTTTCTGTCTCTCTTTTGTTTGAGAGAAGGTCTCACTATGTAGTCTTGGCTGGCTGGCACTTCCTGTGTAGTCCAGGCTGGCCTCAGACTCACAGAGATGCCTGCCTTTGCCTTCATGCCCAGCAGTGTGGCTCTTTTCTGATTGTTAGGTCAGCGTTGCAGTGCACACCGCAGGCAGGAGCAGGAGGGACACAGACCTGGGCTCACAGTCAATCCGAGCTTCCCTGTGTTGTCACCATCTGGGAAAGGTGTGCTTATGGGATAGCAATGTGTAGTCTTATGACAGGCAATTCAGGGGCGCGGCCAGTTAGCCAGCCAGCCAGAGGGACAGGGTGATATTTGGGTGTTTTCCTTCCACTGCTCCCAGCACCTCCTGGTTTCTTCTTAGTACAGAGACAGTTTGGTCTTACTTTTCTTTTTATACTCTTGACTCTTTTTGTTTTTGGGTTTTTGTTTTGTTTTGTTTTTATGGAGCTTATAAGGGTTCTGCTTGAGATCAAGTTTCAGTGACATTTCTTTGGCTTAGTTCCTGTGCCCAGAACATCATGTGATAGGTTTCTATGTAGAGGGAATCAGAAAAAAGGACTTCTTTAGTTCACCCATTTTTTTAAAATAAAGTTTTATTCAAACATAGCCATATGCTTTTATTTATGTCCCCTCTGTGGCTACTTTCATACTACAGTGACAGAGTTGAGACTATACATACATACATACATAAATACATACATAAATACATACAGTCTGGCTGACCCTGGGCATAGAGAGACCTGACTCTGATAACTGTTGAGGCTAATCTTTGTGGACTACTGACAAAGTGGGGATCCCACCTCCCCATACCTGGTCCTGCTCCACGCGTTCTCACAGAAACCACTTGCTCAGAGGATGTTTATTTCTGAATGGTTCTTCAGCCAGCAGTGTTTGGATCATTTTTCTTGTTTTCTCTCAGTGGACTATTAAGGTTTGCTTTGTCATGCAAGCCACCATAGTGGCATCTTTGTTTTAGGAGCTTTTCCACGCTGGGGATTTAGGTCCTTAAACTCAAGACTAAAAACTCAAATTCTGCAGGCAAGGGGCAGGCTTCTGCCATCAGGATCAAGAGTCTGAAACCCATCACTGCTGGACTACTGTGGGTCAGCAGCCTCACCAGAGGACCTCAGGCACAGGATCTGATGAGTTGTTGACATATAACTTTGAAGCTGCATGCCGATGAGCAGGTTTTCTGAATCCTTAAACTCAGCAAAATATCAAACGTTGGAATTTTGACTTGGTCCAGCCCAGCCCAGTTCATTATGGGAAATGGGCTGCTTGGCTCTCTTCCTCCTTTTCTTGGCTGATCTCTCTGCCATGGCCTGCTGACTGGAGTCCATCTCATCATGGCAAAGTGCTTGGCTTCACTCCCAGCATCTGCAGGATGTACTCCACATGAGCCAGCCAAACTAAGCTGGCCGGATGCTGCTGGGGCCACATTATGTGGCTGCTTCCTCCTAGCATCTGCTCTGGGAGTGCCGTTGTTTAGAACTCCACACACTAAGGGAGCCCTTAGTCTGACTGTCATAGTGCTGTGGGCGCCCCTCTCTCCAGAGCCAGGGGCTTGAGTTGTGGGTTATTTAGGTTCACATCCTCCCTTCCCTACTCACTCACCTGGGTGACCCAAGGCAAAACAGGCAAACCTGCTATGATGCACAGTTCCCCATCAGCGTGGCAGGGGTTGTGGGTAGAGCAGGGTTCTCAAGTTTGCCCTCCAGCCCTCATTAGGATGTAGATTTTGCCTCCATAGTCCCCTGTGGTGGGGAGGATTCTGCATGTCAGCAGGCTCCAGAGGACACAGCAGGAGATGGGAGTGGAAACTTTTGGGAAGCCAGTCTGGAAGGACCTCTGAACCCAGTAGTCCCTGGCTTCCATCATGTGAGCACCCTGGGCCTTC